CTCCCTGCTAGCGTGCTCACCTCCCCCCAGATTTTGGTGTCATCAGCGAATTTAAACAGGTTACTTTCCACCCCATCATCCAGATCGCTGATGAAGAAATTGAACAGCGCAGGCCCCAGGACCGAGCCCTGGGGGACTCCACTACCCACCTCCCCCCAGGTTGAATATGAATATTGTGGTTCTTCTCCCCACTCCTCGCCCCCCTCCCCGAGTCCTGGTCCTGTGCTGTCACTTCCCCAAAATCCTGGCCCCAGCCCTGACCCTAGCCCCCAAATGCCACTCCTTGCCCACCCAGAGCACCATCCCATCCACGTGGGAAAGCATGCCCTGCCTGCATGGGTCTTGGACTGGTCCCTAGGGAGACCCTGCCTGACCATCCCATTCAAAAACCCCGGCAGTGGGAGCAGGCAGTACCCAGAGTGACACTGGTGGAGGCATCTAGAAGTGTCTGCCACTGCTGGGGCTGCCAGAAACTGGAGTCTGGCCACCCCACTGCCCCAGCCCTGTTGCCTTGGGGCGGGAGGGACAACAGAACTGGCTGCACATGCCATGGCCTAGGCTGCCCCCTCTGTTTGGGCCAGGTGGGGCTGAGAGACATATCTCTTGATGGGCCAGATCTGACCTGCAGGCTATATTTTGCCCACCCCTAGTCTACTGGTTACTGTAATTATCCAGGGAGTGGGAGGGGTAGTTTCTAGCCTCCACTCTTCTAGCAGGTGGTCAAACACATATCTTTCAGCCAAGTACTATAACCACTAAGCTATGGGCTAGGCATTGCCCAGACTTACAGTGGTGGCCACCCTTTTTGGCTGGCGTGCCATGAATTAGCCCCAAGTGCTCCGCAAGTACTACTCCAATCCCCTTGTCCTGCCAGCTTTCTGCTCCCTGCCCTATGTGCCACTGTGCTGCCTGTCCCCTCCCCAGTCTGCCACATACCACACACATACCATGCCACTTGTGGCACTTGAGCCTCGAGTTCACCACCCCTGGCCCAGAGCGCCCTCTAGCTTGCCTCTTGAAGCTTGGCGGCCAGGAGGGGGAGATACATGGGACCAGGAAGTGAACAAGTCAGAGAGAGTGCAACAGTGGACACGACTACACGTTCATTAATGCATCATAGTTAGGGGTCAAATTACTTTGACTTTTGCAGGGGGGTCTACAAAAAAAATTGGGCTGCCCATCACAATGCCCTAATAAAATTGGAGACCCCCCAAGTTATGATTTTCAAATCTTATAAGGGGGTTCTCTTCTCTTATGTGGGGGATAAGCCCCCTCCAAGCTCCCTCATAATTTGAACCCTGATCATAGTTACTGCACATTCAGTTTAGTACTTGGTAATGAATGCGCAGTAACTTGTGCTACTGCACAGTAGTGCCAGTGCATGGTTTTTAGTGACACTTACTGTGCAGTAGCCTAATACTTTAAGAGGCATGGTAATGTATTAGCACAGTTTTTGCCTGACACGCTACTGCACAGTGTTATTAGACTACTGTGCAGTTAATGTCTCATGTCGAAGCACCCAGTGAGAAGGATAATTGACCTAGAAAGGAGAGGACCTTAGGTTCTGGCAGATAGTCCTAATGACTTTTATGTATCTTGCATTTAATATTCATTGAGTAAGACAGACAAACTGTAGAGAGAGAGATTCTACCTTGAAAGGGCAGGGGCCAGATCTTAGGCAGTGACAGTATTCTCTTGCTGAGCCAAGACAACTGAGTTGAAGGAGAAGCAAGTTATCACAGGGAGCTCTGCATATAGAGGTCATGCTTGTCAGCTCTGCAAACTGATGCTTTCAATTTTGGCCCTTTAGACTCAGCTGCGGAGGGGTCCATTCAATCTACCCAGATGAAGCTGAAAAGAGCCCGACTTGCAGATGACTTGAATGAAAAAATTGCTCTCAGGCCAGGTCCCTTGGAGCTGGTGGAAAAGAATATTATTCCTGTTGACTCTGCTGTGAAAGAGGCCATAAAAGGTACTCTGAGTGAAAAACTGTATTTTGTATCACGAGTATGCATGCTGCACAGGTACTCAGATTGATGAAGCTATGTATATATTACGTATAATACTAAAATATATAGCCTTAATGGTATTAACAGATCAATACAAAGTTAAAAGCTTAAGAGTACACTACTCAGCCCATAATGTTTTAATTGCAAGCAGCCCCAACCAGAACATCATGTGTTATCCTGACCCAGGTCTAAGAGGAGAAAGCAAGCTCTAATCTCAGAGCAATGATTTGCATCCAATTGCCTAGGTAACAGTCATCTCTAACTAGATTTAGTATCCCTTCCCCATGTATTAGATGTGGAAGCATTACTGCCTATCCTATGCCCAAGGACTGAGAGAACCAATTTCTGCCTGCCTTGGGTTGGCAGGCTTCAGCATACCTAGTAGTTCTCCCTGCCATTGCCTGGCACAAATATCTACATTGATTCTCTACTCTGAGCAGTTATTTAGGCCATTAGACACACAGGGCAGAAAGTTCAGTCATTAACATGGAAGGCAATCCCCAGGGGTAACCGGGCAGTTACTTAGATGCATGATTTTATATTTGCTTAGTTAGTTGTTCTTGTGCCTCTGTCCAGAAAATCAAATATTAGTCCATATGAACAGGAGAATTAATGTTACTTGAATCTCTTACACAAATGGGGTCTGGTGAGCAGAAACCATATGTTAGCTGAGAGTGGTGATGTATCTATTTGGTGTGGTGTCTGTGTGCGCATCATAGATAGGGCTGAATTCTGTCTGTACCTTGTCTAATTTATTTGGGCAAAATGATTGTTTCATGGTCCCAAATTAGAAAAGCAATGGTTTACCTTTTTCTTTGCATTGATTTGAATGGCCACACTGATTCATGAGCAAAAGAAAATCAATTAATAGGTATCTTTCATAGGAGCCAGTGTCACTCACCTGCACCGAGTTCTCTCCTTCTGTCCGAGCATTGATGCTGTAGTAGGCAGCCTCTTCACTATCACTAAAGCCCAAGTCCAACTCTAGGCTTTAGGCTTATAAAGACACAAGTGTAAATGGAACTTTTAATGGCACCTACATGGATTTTAGTTCTTATTCACGTTTATGTAAATAGACTTGAACCTTTGAACATATTCAGAGGGATCTACTACAGTTACTTAGACTCTTCTGTAAATGTATTCCACCTACAAAAGCTAGTAAGGTGGTATAAATCTCTGGAAGCTTATTCAGAGAATAATCACAACTAATGACCATTTGACCCCAGAGAATAAGGGGCCCTTTACTAGTAACCTAGTAGCTAAAAGTCTTGCCAGGAAGCATAAAATCCATAGTCTAGGCCTCCCCTCAGTGAAATGAGGCTGAAATCCACATTTCCTGTTTCCCATTACAGTATCCTAACTGCCAGGCCAAGAGGGCCACCCACCATTTCTTTTGAAGGAGGTCAGCTGGGAAGCAAAAAGGAAAAATATGTAGGGCCAGAAAGAGACTACATCAGGCAGAGACTTGCTTTGCAGCTTACTAGGCACATCTACACATGTATTTGATGCAGGAGCAGTTTAGTTACAAGTAAATTACTTGCAAGTAAATGGTACCAGGCAGGTGTCTACACATGCAAGGACGTGGCAGCAGATTTGCTGCTCTTAGCACCAAACTGCTGCCGCATCCTGTGGGCCTGCAACAGGCCCTGCTGCCACCAGGAGGAGGCCACCTGGCCAGGAGCAGCATGTGCAGCAGAGGGGCAGCACACAGCAGTGCTCTCCTCACTGCCTGTGCCTCCCTACACCATGGCTGCTCCAGACCTTTCACCTGACAATCAGCTCCACTGGCTGGCCCACAGCTGTCTAGGCTCTCCCAGCTTCCCCATGAACAGCAACCACCTGGCCAGCCACCAAGCACCATCCCAGGGCTGCCACCACTGTTCAGCTGCTGCCTTGATGCCATCTAGCTGGCTGGACCTCAGCATAGACACTGATGACATGCTGCTAGACACCACTGCCGGGGCTACCCTCACTATCCTGAGCCTGCAGTCCCACCACCTCTCAGGCCAGCCAGGACTGATGGCTGCACATCATCCAGCACACCTGGGATGACAAGAAGTGACTGGTGGCATTCCATATGACCCAGGCCACTTTCTGGGATCTCCTGGAGCCACTCCAGCCACATCTGGAGCATCAGGACATATGCGGCCACCCCTCCCTGCAGACACCCAGCTGCCCTCTCCCTGCTAAAGCTGACTGCACTCACCATCTTGCAGTACATCTTGTCTGCTGCCTCCTGGGGTCTCATGTCCGGGATGTAACTGAGAGGATCCCCAAACTCATCTGGCCCACCAACTACCACCCCATGCTACTCATCCATGTGGGCACAAATGACACAGCTCAGAACAGTCCTGGCTGGGTGATGAGTGACTGCAGGGCTCTGGGGGCTGGGCTCAAGAGTCTGGGGGTTCAGGTAGATTTTTCCTCTATCCTACCAGTCATGGGTTGCGGACCTCAAAGGGAGAGATGTATCGGAGAGGTTAACAGAAGACTCCGGTGATGGTGCCATCATGAGGGCTTTGGCTTCTTTGACCATGGGTCCACACTTCAGGGAGAGAGGCAGCAGCTTGTTGGGGAGTGATGGCCTCCACTTCACCCTAACAGGGAAGAAGCTCTTCTCAGCCAAGGTGGCTGACCTACTTGACAGGGCTTTGAACTAGGATCACCAAGGGATGGGCAGTCAATAAACAGTTCTAGCCCAGGTCACAACAACTACAGTACTAACAGGCTAGATAGCCCAAGATAACCCACTCCAAAAACAGCCCAAGGAAAGGTCACGTCCCAGTGCACAGGGAAGTCCAGGGCTTCCCATGGCAGGCTCAGCTGCCTGTACACAAACGCCAGGAGTTCGGGAAACAAGCAAGAGGAACTGGACCTCCCCTTGAGTGACAATGATTATGCTCTTGTAGGAATAACAGAGACCTGGTGGGACTCCACCTATGAGTGGCCCATAGGTATAGAAGGCTATACCTTGTACAGGAGAGAACGTGTTAGGAAGAGGGGTGGGGGTGTAGCTCTCTACGTGAAAGAGCAGTACACTTCCCTTCAAACTGAGTAACAACCCAGGAGGGCATCTTGAGACCCTCTGGGTTAAAATACAGGGGGAGCATGGGAAAGGGGATATAACTGTAGGAGTCTATAACAGACCTCCCAACCAAGATGAAGAGCTGGATTGAGAATTCAATAGGAACTGGCTGAGGCTGCACGCTCCTGATGCTTCATTGTCATGGGGGACTTCAATCTCCCCGACATCTTGTTGGAAGAGCACATGGCCAAATCTGACTGGTCGCATAGCTTCCTCACTTGCATTGTTGTCCTCTACCTAACACAAGAGTTCTACGGGCCAACTAGGGGAGAAGCACTGCAGGATTGGGTTCTGGTGAAAGGGGATGATCTGGTGAGCAACCTGAAGATCAAGGGGAAGCTCAGTAACAGTGACCATGAACTGATCACTTTCTCTGTCCAATGAAGGGTGGACAAATGTCTCAGCAAAACAGAAATCCTCAACTTTGGGACGACTGACTTTCAGAAACTCAAGAGACTGGTCAGCCAGGCACTAAGAGACCATGGCCCCTTAGAAAGGGGGTTCATGAGGAATGGTTGTTCCTTAAGAGTGCAATCCTCTAAGTGCAAGGAAAGTCCATTCTGTCCTGCAGGATATGCAGTCAGTGGGCTGGCAAACCCTCTTTGCTAAATAGAGACATTCTGGACCTCCTGAAACTAAATGAAGAAGTCTACACCAGATGGAAAATGGGAGTCATTACCAAGAAGAACTACACAGCACTAGCTTTCACCTATCGAGAGCAGACCTGAAAAGCCAAAGCAGCAACCGAACTCAGGCTGGCCACGGGAATCAAGGACAACAAAAAGTCCTTATTCAGATATGTGGAAAGTCAAAAGAAAAACAAAACATTGGACCCCTACAAAATCAAATGGGGCAGCTGATGTCTGACAGTCAGGAAAAGACCAATCTCCTAAATGATTACTTTGCATAGGTCTTCCACCCATCCCAACAGGTCACCCTGTCAGATAGGATGCAACACATCCAGGGGGTGGGAGATGGATCTACAATAGATGTAGATCAAGTAAGGGAACACCTTGAGAGGCTTGACATCCACAAGCCCGCGGACCCAGATGGAATGCACCCAAGAGTCTTGAAGGAGCTGGCAGACATCATAGTGCCCCCTATGGAGAAGATATTTGAAAACTTGTGGCACTCAGGAGAGGTACCAGAGGACTGGAAAAGAGCCAATGTGGTCCCAATCTTCAAAAAAGGAAGGAGAGAAGACCTGGGAAATTACAGACAAATCAGTCTGACACCCATTCCTGGAAAGATCCTGGAGAAAATTATCCAGGGTTCCATTAGCAGCAGGCTAACAGAAGGGAATTTTCTGAGTGCTAGCCAACATGGTTTTGTTGCTGGACGGTCCTGCCTGACCAACCTCATCTCCTTTTATGACCAGGTGACACATTGCCTGGACAAGGGAGATGAGGTTGATGTCATATGTCTGGATTTCAAGAAGACCTTTGACTTGGTCTTCCATGATGTCCTCATGGCTAAGCTGGAGAACTGTGGCCTCGACCATCTCATGGTCCGATGGCTGGGGAACTGGCTCCAGGGTTGGACCAGAAGAGTATTAGTAGATGGGAGCAAATCAACTTGATGCAAGGTGACCAGTGCTATCCCTCAGGGCTCAGGCTAATAGTCTTCAACTTCTTCATAGATGTTAGGGGCTGGAAGGGACCTTACAGATCACTGGGTCCAGCCCTCCTGCACTTGGGCAGGAAAGACCACTGGGATCAGATGACCCCAGCAAGATGGGTGTCAAGACGCTTTTTGAAGATCACTGGGGTGATAAATGATCTGGATTCGGGCATCACATGCAGACTGGCAAAGTTTGCAAATGACACTAAACTATGAGGGAAGGTGGTCACACTGGAGGATAGGCTGGGGATACAGGCT